GAGAGAGAGAGGGAGGGAGAGAGAGAGAGAGGGAGGGAGAGAGAGAGAGAGAGAGAGAGAGAGAGAAAGAGAGAGAAAGAGACAGGCAGAGACAGAGACAGAGACAGACAGAGATAGAGGTAGAGATAGAGAGAAAGAGAGAGAGAGAGGGGGGAGTGATTTGGTAGAAGGAACCTACATCCGGTCACACCGGTGATTAACTATAAATGCTGGGGTTGTGCTGGCATTGTCACGGACGCCTTGTCACGTACGACGTGTGTGTGTAGCTGGGCGTGTCGCACGTAGCGGTACTACCCTGACTAGCGGTACCCTGACTAGCGGTACTACCCTGACTGACTAGCGGTACCCTGACTAGCGGTATTACCCTGACTAGCGGTACCCTGACTAGCGGTACCCTGCCTAGCGGTACTACCCTGACTGACTAGCGGTACCCTGTCTAGCGGTACTCTGACTAGCGGTACTACCCTGACTAGCGGTACTACCCTGTCTAGCGGTACCCTGCCTAGCGGTACTACCCTGACTAGCGGTACCCTGACTAGTAATAACTAGTAATAACAGGTAACCCCGAGAGCAGCATCACTGTTTGTTTTATGTACGTCTTTGTGGAGATAGATGGCAAACACGGAGGATGGTGTTTACAAAATACTCCGAGCTTTTCGTATTTTCGTTTGATGTCGGTTTATGAACTGTAGTGCCGGCAGTGCGCTAGCTCTCCCTCTAGCGGCTAGTTCTACCTAACTATCGTCATCATTGTCGTCACTGCAGCTGGGGGGGATAATGCTGCTGCTGTCGTCAGTGATGCTAGTGCCGCGGGCGTGCAGTAACATTTGTTTCACATATGTAGCGGCTGCCTAAAACTAGTAAACAATTTATGGTCAATATCTGCTAATGCACTGTGGATGGGGCTAGTTTACGGCTGTGACCACACGTGTGCGGCTACCCTCGTCACCAATGCAACGCGGGAGAGCGACCTACTGCTGGATTAGCCTATTTAGCCATATAAACTCAATCCATCATTAACACTAAACGTTGTTTCCATGGAGTATAGGGTCACTCTCAAAGGGAATAGAGGGTCTACATGGAAATAGAAAGAGCAACCAAGCATCCGAGCTAGAGCATCCGAGAGAGCGCGAGAAGGATGGAGAGAGAGGGAGGGGTTGTAGGGATAGAGATAGGGCCGTATGGATGACGAGAGTCGGGGAGGGAGGGAAGAGGAGAATCATATAGATAGGTAGCGCGCGCGAGAGAGAGAGAGAGAGGCTAAGAGAGAGAGAGAGAGAGAGAGGGAGAGCGAGCGAGACAGACAGAAGGAGAGAAAGAGAGCGAGCGAGAGAGAGACAGCCAGAGACAACGACAGACAGAGAGAGATAGAGAGAGAGAGAGAGAAAGAGAGAGAGAGAGAGAGAGAGAGAGAGAGAGAGAGAGAGAGAG